CAGGGAGGGGACACTGATATTACTCCAACAACCAAGATCATGTTGAGATGGAGGTAATCTGTTTATTCTGTCCAGCAACTATGAATTGGCTCACACAGAAAGGGAGGTTCCCCAGGGATGGCTTTCTAGAGGGAAGACAAAAATGCATCTCCATGAAGTGTCTGAACAGTGAGGGGTTCTTCCACAGAGCACTGCCATTTCCAGATTCTCTCATGCCATTCCAGAGACTTACATTTACATCTTGCCGCAGCTTAATAAGAAAACGCTTCCTCTTAAAGCTCAATTTTCGAACTTTAGCCCAGTTAAAGGCATTGATCTTGGTGTGACCCTAAAGATGATGAATAATGAAAGAAAAATAAGATACACAATTTTTCCCTCAAACACATACTCATCTATAAAGTTAATTTGCACATTTAATGGAATTCCATTAATGTTGTGTTTTTATTTAGTATGCCTGCTTAGCTGATTCAAACAATGAAGAAATTTCCAAAGCAAACTCTGCTTGTAATGACTGATTTTCACAGTCATTTCCACTGATTGCCCAACTAGTCAATCAGAAGCCTCATGGACAGATGGAAGCAGGTCTTTAAACCCCCACCACCCCACCCAGACTTCACCAGGAGCATAACTTTCACTAACCCATCCATTGATTGGGTTTAAACAACAGGATAAATCATGTTGAAGGGCTGGGAGTGGGTTGTTCTAGTCTGTTGTCTGCACCCAGCTACAATAACAAACTATAGTTATTAACTATGAACAATCAGTGTTGTTGCACTGTGAAGTGAGCGTTGTTTGTGGTTAGTAAACCATGTTTTTAACTTTTTTTGTTGGCCGTTTACAAGTGTACTTTTATGCCTGTTTGATAAGTGTGGCCTGATCTGGTTAATTACCTTGTTTGTTTCAGCTGTCAAAGGGAGTGGAAGACATATATGGAAATTGGCAAGGAGAGATTATTTGTAGACTAATCTGTGATCAGGTGCCAGGAACCAATCACCCAGTTGTCAATTAAAAAGGAAAGGGAAAGAAGCGTAAAAGAAGGTGAACCAAAAGTATAATCCTCTTGATTTTAAATGTTGAACTGATACTTGTTTCAACACTTCTGAGCCTTCATTGAGCCTAGAGCCCAGAAAGACTCCCTCTGCTGTTTCACAGCTCCTTTTCAGGTCTTTTACTGCAGAAGTTACTGCAGTTTCATGATAGTTTTCAGAGCCTTGAAAAAGCTCCTGAATGAGATGAAGTAAGTAGGTCCCACAGACCATGAGTCATGGCGGCCCCTTTGTTCCACCTGTAAGAGTTTATTTTAAAAAATACCCTAGTGGACATGTGTGTGTGTGTGATTTTGAGGAACTGGGAAATATATGCAAATTTAATGTTGGAAAGTAAATGGAGAGGAAATTTGTGCCAAAAGGGCAGATTGCAGAGTGTTACCCTGCTGGTACTCCTGGATTTCCTGGTAGCTTTCATACCATAGATCATGCTATCCTTCTGGTGAGGCTGGCTAAGCTGGGAGCAGGGGCTACCACACTGCAGTGGTTCTGCTCCTACCAGGACAGCTGGCTCCAAAAGGTAGTGCTTGGGGGACACTGCTTTGACTCTCCAGTACCAGGTTCCTCAGGGATCAGCTTTGGCCTCCCCTCTATGTAACATCTATACGACAGTGCCAGATGGGGTCATCCAGAGAGTGTTGTCACCAGTAAGTTGATAACATGCAGATTTACTTCTCCTTTTCCTGCCTGGCTGTGACAATGGACTAGATGAGGCTAACAAACAAGACCAGAGGCTAGCTCCTCTGGCTGGGTTGAAGGTGTTCAACTTATTTTGGATTGCAGTTGTATTCTCCTTGAAGGAGCAGGTTCATATCATAAGGGTGCTCCTTCAGTCATTTTTGTCACTCAAGGCCCAGACAGTGGCATGGAGTACTAGACCTTCTAGCAGCTTTGGCTAGTCTGTTCTCAGTAATCTATGTTCTGGAAATTCTGAACTAGATTTCTGCAATACATCCTATGTTGGACTGCCCTTGAAGACTGCTTAGAAGCTGCAGTTTGTGTAAAAAGCAGCAGCCAGATTAATAATTGAAACCAGAAGGTCCAAACACACAATGCCTATTCTGGCCCACTTGTGGTGACTGCCTATATGCTTCTAAAACCAATTCAGGATGCTGGTTTAATGGAAAGTATTTCTCAGCCACAATCTGCTGTGTCCCAGCTGAGATCTACAATCCAGATCTAGGCCCACCTCTGACTGCTGTGACCTCTGAAGTAGTCTCTGTTGGTCACACAGAGAAAAGAGAAAGGCCTCCTACTGGCAGTACCCCACTGCAGAACAAGCTCTCCACTGAGGCCCACCTGGTTAACAACTCTTAGTATCTTTTCCATGCCAGGTTAAGATGGTCCTCTGTAACAGGGCATTTTATTAGCTGTGATATTATATCAGAGCACTGTGCCAGATCTTGTGATTGAGTTAGCTGCTGTAGCTGTTTAAAGCTGGGATTAAATGTGGCTTTTAAATTTTATACTTCAATGTTTATGTTTTTATTTTAATCTGTATTTTTGTTTTTTATGTGCTGTTGCAAACTACCAAGGAAGCTCTGGCAATTAGGCAGGATGATGGTGATGGTGGTGGTGGTCCCTTGTATTTTTCAGCTGTCTCCATAACCACGGAGAGATGGTTTATGAAACCTCTTCTGGTTCAAAGGTATTCGATGGCATGAAAATATACTATGGGATCTAGCAGACTGGATATCATGAGATAGCAGCTATGAACCAATCTTTGTTGTTTGAAATTCACATAGTACTAATTTAATTAAAGTAACTCACATACCTGGAACACCAGAATGCCTGTATGGGCAACTGCCAAGTTGATCTTAGTCCCTTCTCTGTCCTTAGCTGGATGCAATCTGATTCCATACATTTCCAAGCGACGAGCAATCTCAAGCAGTTGGAAATCTGATTCTGCTGGTGTTTGTCCACTAAAGGAATGAAAAATTACTTTACACTTGGGACGAAGGAGCTTTAAAGATCCATTAGGGCTTCTCAGGGTTATTATTTCTTGCTCTAGCTTACAGAACAGAGGGTAGAACAGAATCTAACAGTGACTTTATTATTATATTCATGGAAACCAACCACTATTGCTCTGGGGTCAATTATCCCCTGGATCAAACTGACAAGCTGGATGGTGTCAAGGAAATGGGACCCTATTCTGAAGCCCCTTTCCTTACACATCATCTGCCCACCCTACTATCTCTTCAAAAAATGCTTTTTCAATTGAGAGACAGCCACTGAATGTCACTCCTCTCTCTGCACAGAAAAAAGAACTCAATCAGGATGCATAGGAGCCAGCTTCTGTACGCCTAAGCCAAGCTGGGTGGCTCTTTGCCATATTGCTTACATCTTGATTGGCTTAAGAGGCAGAGGAAGGCACACAGCCAAGAGGTGACATGGAATCCCCTGCTTATCTTCCATCTCCTTTGCTCTGCTTGCTTCCTGATGAAGAAAAAGTGGTACACGGGGGAATCCCTTTATTATCTCCAGTAGAGATTCCTCCATGGGATGGAGACTGAGGGACAAGGATTAGTTAAAGCAGGGTGTAGGGCCTATAGATGGTGCAAAGTCCTCTGCAGGATGGATTGGATCGCAGTGTAGACCAGATTAGGCTCGTGTGCCAGAGACTGACCTCCCAATTTACATGATCTAGTGCATAAATCACAAAGTGATTAATGATAAACCCCACACTTCCAGATCACTTCCTGTCCAGTTGAAAAGAACAGGTTGCGAGTGTGACCTTTATCATGTATTGGGCTGATGACATGCTGAGACAGCCTCATGGTTGTCACAGTAGCCATGAAGTCTTCAGCTGCTCCAGACAAAGTGCTCTTGGCATGGAAACACAGATCCCACAGAACTACATTCTGGGGTTCTCAACACCAGGTCCAAGACCACCTCCAACAGCTCAGGCAGCAGAGTGGACAGTCCACTAATAAAAATCTTGTTCTGTCTTGCTTGCCCTGCATCAGATACAAGCACTCAAGACCTGTCTTTGAGTGGACAGGAAGCCTAGAAAGAGGAAATGTATTCCTAAAGCGCACTGCCACTCCTCCCCACCCGCCAGGTGAGGCTGGTGCTGCCCCAAGTACCTGGGCAGGCACAACAGAGACAGAATAAAATCTCTTGTCTCCGGCTCTCTGTAGAGCAAGCCAGGTCAGCCCCCTCATCTACAATCATGTTGTGCATGAGGGAGATTTAATTCTGTGCTGATCTGACATTTAACAGCAGCATCACCGAGCCTGAGGGTAGGTTGATACAGTTGCCTGACATCACCCAGTTGGGGAAGAAACAGAAGAGGGAACAGCAGTCAAATATCAGATTCCGCTTTTCCTCTGCTGGCCACTTAATCCCCCAGTGTCATACCTGCACCTGCCCGAGACCACACTGATGGGGGCACCCCATTGCTCCCCAGAATCCCACAAAACATATTAAAATGTACAGCCGGAGCACTGAAACCAGATATTGTTCTGTATTGAACACTGTGGAATACCTATTGTGGTAAAGCAAGAAAAAGAACCCGAACAGCCCCAAGCGCGTGCCCTTTGGCCACCGTCCTTGGCACAGGATTGCTGAAGAGGAGTTAGGCTCTACCCCTGGGCACCAGAGGCAGATATTACCACGACCTCTTGATCAGCCCCCCACCCCCAGTTGTGCCTGCCACCAGCTGGCAAGAGGCAAGTGCTGGGTCAGCATGAGAGTGACCTGCTGTGACAATTTGCATAGAACTTTGAAGATAAAGTTGCCCAGATTTGTCACAAATTGGACATTTAATGAAGTTTTCTTAACAAAGGCATTCAGGGCAGGGAGGAGTGGCTTCTGAAGGGGCCGAAGCTGCTGAAGAGCTGGGCTCAGCTGACGAGTGTTTGCTCCCACAGCATTTTGCGCAGCCTATTCTCACGATGTTTGCAAGCCTGTCCGGTGAAAGACTGGCAGTGGCTGCACTTGTTGGTTCTGTGTCTTCTCCAAGAAAGAGAAGACACAAATCATGAGGATCAGTGGGAGACATTTTGGCTCCACACTGAGAACACTTGTGGAAGGCTGCCTGCTGTGCCATTGAGAAGAAGAAAAGAGAAAACAGCGAACAGAGATAGGTTAATGGGAAAAAACAACGGTAGAGATGGGGTTTTTTGACGGGGGAGGAGGAAGGAAACAAGAGACAAGGGAAGAGGTTTGGAAGGAACGAACTTGGTTTGGGAGTGAAAAGTTGTAAAGTTTAAGATAAAGAAAGAAGTTCAAGATTTGTAGGTTACGTGAAGGAGAACGAGTAGACAAAGCAAAGTGAAAAGGCTTGAGGCACAGCGAATGGCAGTCGCAAGCAGACTGGGGAAAGGGCAGGTACTCAGTCTATTTATACTACGGGGGAGGGGAGGATATGGAGTTCCTACTAAAAACCATTAAAGCTAATAAATCTTCCTGGCAACAGGCACTGCGCAGGCGCAGCACCCATGTGTGATGCACGGAGACGATGAAGAACGGAAGGCTGGGAAAGGCTGCCTTAAAGAAAGAGCCAGTGTGGTGTAGTGGTTAAGAGCATGGGACTGGGACTCAGACGATCTGGGTTCTAGTCCCCGCTCAGCCATGGAGCCAACTGGGTGACTTTGGGCCAGTCACAGACTCTCAGCCCAACCTACCTCACAGGGTTGTTGTTGTGGGGATAAGATGGAGGAGAAGATGTAAGCTGCCTTGAGCCCTTTGTAGGAAAAAGGCAGGATATAAATCGAAAAATAAATAAACATGTCACTGGTGTTTAAGCATTATATAGTAATACTTACACATGGTTATGATGAAATTCCATGATTTTGTCTTCTAATGCTTCTTGATGAGGTATATATTTGTTCTTTGCTAAGTGTTCATGATCAATGGTTTCATCAAAATCCCCAATTTCAGCTAGGGAGAAAAGAACATGTATGTACTCAGTGGGTGCCATCCAGACACAGAGAAACAGACTAAAGTTTTACTGAAAAACAGGGGGTAACCTTTGCTTTGCTGCTGATTTAGCAGGAAGACCTACTGTATTCAGAAAGATGCATTTTTAGTTTGTCTATATCAGGGGTCCTCAAACTTTTTGAACATGGGGCCAGTTGAAAGGTGCCGGCGATGGGCACGGGCTGCCAAGGCGGTGTGGGTGGGGTTGCGGGGGCCGGGGCAGGGAGTGTGCGCACGTGTGCATGCACATGGCGCGGCAGGGGTGTGCGTGCGCAGAGATCCTTTTCTCCATGCAAGTCCAAAACAATCTCCTTGCAAGCAAGCCACCATCTCGTCCTGCGCACAGTGAGGCGCTGGCTTGTTCTCAAGGAGAGAGTTTTGGACTCGCTCGGAGAAAAGGATCTCCTTGCAAGCAAGCCGCCGCTGGGCACACACACAGTGAGGCACTGGCGTGTGCACACAGTGAGTCCGAAACCTCTATGGCGGGCCAGATAAATGGGCACAGCGGGCTGGATCTGGGCCACGGGCCATAGTTTAAGGACCCATGGGCTATATCCTCATTCTCAGGCTATGGCACAGAGAACATTGGAAGGTGATAATGAGCAACAGAGTAACTATTTATGATATTCCATTTGAAGAATCTAAAGGCTGGATACTGGGCTACAGCAGTTCTGGCAAAGTAGTAAGACTACTTTTGTTTCTACCAGCGTCATGAGTCTAGAAAAGTAAGCTTTCCAAAGATTCAGTAAATTATACAAGGCTCCTCTTAGAAATATGTAGTTTTTCCATTTTCTGCAAAATATGCTGCTCCTTGTGCCTGTCATTCTCACATCTCCTCTGTTTCTTCTTTTGTGTGATTGCTACTGAGAAGGCAGAAGGCATTTTAGTGCCTAACTAGAAAAGCCAAAAGGCAATCCCAGTCTGTCCCACCTCACTGGTGGAAAAATTATAATAATAAACCCCATGACACCTCAGAATAATACCCCAAACTCTCTCGGATCATCTTTCCTAGTGGCAGAACTGGTCTGCATCTTTATCCCTGCCTACTTTATGTTGCACAGAGGATGCATAAGAGAGTCCACTTTGAAAATGCTGAGGAAAAAACCTGAACCTTATTTAGGAACTACGTATTTTACAGAAAAGATAAGAAAAAGTGTTTTGGGAAATGCAGGAAGTTTGATGAAGAAAAATAGTGGCATGTGACTCTCACTGAGGTTCTCTTGCAAGGCACATATCATGGTTACACTAACAAGAAAAGAAACAAAACATTCTTAGTCACACACAGGAGAGCACTGACAATATCAAACTTTTCTCCATGGAAGGTAAATACCTTCACAGGGAAGTGAAATTAAAAGGCCTCAAATCAGGCAACAATATGAATCAGCTGCATATTAACAAACATATTGGGCCATAGCAAACACAGGAAAGAAACTATCTACAACAACTTTCCCCAATTAGGTATCATTCAACTGTTTGAAATAACAACTCTCATCAACCGTGATGATGCTGGGGATTATGGGAATTGTGGTCCAAAAGTTTTGGAAGGCCTAAGGTTCAGGAGAGATGACCAATAGTAATCCCCACCTCAGCTTGTAAGGACAGGAAAATAAAGAAGACGGTCAATGCAAAGTAGTTGGAATGGCAACATATATGGAAGTTGCTTCTACTGCTCTTCAGTCCCTTGCATTTTGAAATACCAGTCTCTAAAGAGTAGACAGACAATAAATCAGAGACACTGATTGATGCCTTCCATTCGGAGCCCTTGTTTTTATTAATGATTAAGCAGCTTCAACCACAACTAGTGATGCTGCTGAAGGCCAAGCTAAATTCTCCTCTCCTCTCCTGCAAGCCTATGAGACTCTGGCTATGACTGCAATTGTGGTGCTTCAGGGTTTAGGTTTCTTCTACCTGGTTTTTGTCCTGAAATTCCATGAATAGGTGGTGAGCTTTTTTAAAAGAAGTCTCCACTGGAATCAGGATTTTATTATAACTCATTCCGTATTCTGCAAAACGGAGATGAACAAAGTCTACTTACACTGTACAATGTGAGAGATTAAGAGAGCAGCACTGGTGTCATTACAAGTTAATCTTCCTTGTGCTAAATCCTGTTTTACTTGCAATGCAAATAAGTACCTAAAAAGACATAAAAAAGAGGAAAGCAGGTATAGGGACATCTGTAAAATCAAAACACTTATTCTTTACTTCTTAATATGCTTCCTTTGAACTGGGAACCTTACATTAAGATCTTACAGGAGAATCTTCTCAGAGCATCATCAGTTATAGAAATATGCATACAAAGGAGCGGTCTTTTCTGTATTGGTGCCCTGTTTCTGGAATCTCCTTCAAAAAGAAAACTGACTAATAAATAGCAACATGTTAATTTTTTGGTTACTGACTCAAAAACTTGTTTTTGGTTTTGTTTTAAATCTGCCTAGATATTTTAATGCAATGCACTGCTTCTGTGTGTCATACTGCTTTAGGATTTGTTGCCTATATGTTTTTAATCCAATCCAATCAACTGAAGAGTTGATACTGGTTGTTTGTCCAGTTACTTCTGTCTGTTCTACTAAGCACATAACTCAATGTCTATAGGCCAGACAGGCATAGCTGTGCACTTACAAACATCCAGGTGGGTTGGTTGGGATTCTAGAGGGACAAGCTGACATTATCCCACTCTGTGATCCCCCAAACAGTTAGACAAAGATATGCAGGTTCATCATATCCACAAATGAACTATTGCATACAAAGAGTTAATAAAAACAAGCAACAATTGTAATGGCACAAATTGATGGAATCTAGTATGTCCTCTGCCAAGCAATCAAAACTAAAATGTTAGCATTTGTTGTAAGGTCTCTATGATAAAGTAACATCATTGTTGCTATGTGGAAGTTTATTATCTTTCTTGAAGGCAGGCACAAAGATGAGCTATTCCTTGGTCTGGCTATTGCTACCATCTTCCAACTTCTCTTAGTAATTTACTTAACAGCAGACTATTTTAAGAAGTGGGAACGTGTGAGAAGGAAATCAGAGGTGGACATTCAGAGCTGATAAAGAGATGAATACAGGAAAGAGCAATAGAAATTATTAAAGCCCAATGATCTCTTGAGGGTTGACAGTATCAAAACTCACAATAGTAAGAAGCACTGAAAGCACAAGGTGAAAAGTACAGCAATTTTTAGAACCATTGAGATATGGAATTTACACAGTCGTTTGGAGAATCACTTCAACCCCAAAATTTACACAGGTTTTTTTTTAATAAAATGGAAAATGGAGTGTATATTTGGAGGCTTGTGCAAAGGATGGGATCAAAATGTTTTAAATAAATGCACACAGAGTGGTAGAAATAAACAACTAGAAGATTTACACATACCACTAAGCTATAATCTGAATTCAAGCTCTCCAGAGTACGGCATGAAAACGATGAAGACTGCAGAAGGCTTGAGACTTTTAGGCCCTGGCAAATGGCAACAGTAGCCTAGCCTTGTAACAGGGGCAGAGCACAGCCAGACTCAGATCAGTTGCAGTGCAGAGAGCAGATTGGCTACAGCTGAATTCAGAATGAACCCTAATACCCTGCCACAGTCTGTGCTGTAATTCAGTGGCATTCCTAAGTGAAGTGTGGGTACCTTGTCTTCTTCCAGATTTGCTGGTCTACTACTCTCTTCAGCTCTAGCCAGCAGAGCTAAGGGCCAGGGATATGGGAGCTATAGGTGAAAACATTAACCCTGCTCTACATGGACACTTGCAGTAAAATGAAAACGAATGGTAGCACTAACCTTGTAAGCTCCTCTTGCAACTGAGCATGATCAGGTGGGAAGAATTTCACCACAAATTTTAGAATTACATGCTTAGGTCCTAAAGAGGGAAAAAACCCTTAAATATTAATTAAATGTTTTCACACTCTCACTTAGAAATGCAATGATTCTTGGTCTGTCCTGAGATACTATTGGATACCCATATACTTTGCTACTTTAAAGCCCACAGAGACTTATTTTAGGATTAAATGCAACAGAAAACATTGCTGAATATTATCTGGTTCCTGTGGAAGATCCTCTGGCAAATGAACACAGTTGTATCAGGATGATGGGAAGCTGTCAATTACCAAGTTGAACCATTGGTCAGCACCAAATACCAAGTTGAACCATTGGTCAGCACTGAGTCAGCACTGTCCACACCAGGAATAAGCATCCTCTGCAACCCACTGTGGGCTGCATGCTAATTTAGCAGGACAAAAATATTCCCAAAATCTTGGAATTTATCGTGCAATCAGTGCCTACCAAGTGCTAAGATTTTATATACACAGGCACTTCTATTAAGTTACCATGTGGCCAACCAGGGAGGTAGGCCAAGTGTACCAGAGCGGGGAAAGGAAGGATTTGCCCTTGCTCAATTCAGGTCATAATCACAAGACAAGTATCACTGGATTTGGGCCTATTTTTGCAGCAGAAAGAGAACACTGAATCAATACATACTTCTTATCTGTTTCACAATAGGCTTCAGAAGATCCAGCCACACCTGAAAACATAACAGAAAAGATCATCATGATGATGATCAAATTTAACAAGAAAGATAACTCTGCAACATAAACCATGACTAAATTATTCAATATATGCAGCATTTTCTATCTCATTAACAGCCTGTCTTTTTCAGTGATATACCACGTTTTCTAGTTTCATACTCTTTGCCAAGAAAAACTAAATGCCTACACTATTATTATGCTTCAACCAAATGCAATACAGAACATTCAAAATGTGTAAATTTAAAACACTGCAAATAATCAACTGATAGTGGAATGAGCAATCACCTAAAACTACCATTGAGAAAGATAGCTTGGGATGAAGCAGTGGCTGTTCCCATGGCTTCATTCTGCAATTCTTGGGCAATATAGGAATACAGGAACTGTACAAACAGGATGCACTGAAGTCATGACAGTGTTAGGCATCAGACTGCTGCCATGGAAAAGTGAAGTTAGTGTGGTTCTTCCCACATGATCCTGCTCTTTCATTATGGCTTCTGATCTTGTGGCCAATGCCTGGCTGGCTAGGGGAGCCAACCAGAGGCTCTGGGCTGCTTTGCACATCATGATCAGCCATGCCACAAAGAAGCCATGGTAGGCTGGCTAATTGGTCCTGAAGCCACACTGCTGCTGACACACCATCAGGTGCTTGCCAGCTTGCCATGGTGTTTCCTCCTTTCTCCCCCAGCATGCATCCTAGAGATCTCTGTGGTACAACTTATCCTGACCCTTGCTATGAAGATATCATCCCCACCTTATTTTTTTTCAGAAGAGGTGGCTATTTATTTTCTTTCGTTAAACCTCATGGTAGGTTTGAGCACTGTCCTTCTTACTAGCACAGCTTTGCGTGTATGTGTGACTGACCTATCACTGGGTAAGCATGCTCAACCCCAATTCAGGACCATGGCAAATTGGGAAAGGAAGATTTAAGCTTTCCTCACTCCTGTTTCAAGCCCAAATCCATTTCCTCCACATGGGGAATGGTGAAAAAAATGTGACATGTTTTCTCTTTCTCAAACTGTGGGAAAGTGACATTTTGGCATGAAAACAGGAGTGGGGGGGGTTAAATTCCTCCTCTTGAATTGCTGTGGTGCCAAACTGGGGGAGTTCATGAACTTACCCAGAGCCAACCATATATAACTGCACTGACTATATGCACAAGCAGATGTGCTGCACTGAAAGAGAAGGCACCTCAAGGAGGAAGGGTAGTGGGCACCATCAGGAGTGTGCAACCTTTTGCTTTTTGCTGCCTTTCTGACAAAACATACAGAAGCCACTCTATTGTATTAGCAGGTCACAACAAGCTACTCCGAACAATCCAGTAAGAAGACATGGGTTCTCGGATGGCTTCTGCACAGTTAACCAACTAGGCTAAAGAAATAGCACCAGATTCAGACCTCACAGCATGCCACCTGAAACAAAGAATATCATATCATATTTTATTTTATCTTATCTTATTTTGGCCACTGCATCTAAAAACAGGATATTATAGAGCTAGAAAAAGTGCCAGAGGGCAACTAAAAAGATCAAGGCTGGAGCAACTGCTATATGAGGAAAGGTTACAACATCTGGGATTGTTTAGCTTAGAACCAAGTTAACAGTTTTTGATATATGAAAGAAAACATGGGAGAAAGTAGAACATGGCTGCATATTTAAGATTCAGGTGAAGGCTACCAACTTCGCAGGAGAGAGCTAACAGATTCAGGCTACAACCCTACACACAGTTACATGCCTTTAGTTGGCTGAGAAGGAAAAAAAAACTTTTAAAGAAGCAATTCTATCCTGGGATTCTATCCCAGGAATCATAGAATTGCTTAGAAAAACCCTTGTAAGTTGGAGACAAAGATCTGACTTTGGAAGGAAGAGCTGGAGCTCTGACCCCACTCCTCCGCCCTTGGCAGCTGGCCTGAAAAGAAACTCACAAGCTCCTCCAAGCTCAGAACAGTTACTTTGGAGGAGAAGGAAGGGGGGCATTGCAGCAGACAAGGAAGGCAGAAGATGAAAGGCCAGGAAACAATTTATCCTGAACCTCCTCCAGCCTCCTTCCTTCCCCCTTCAAGGAGCGAAAGTCACCAATGTAGAGCACAGGGAGGCAAAGATAATCTCTTCCACTCATCCTTCCCTGCCAGCTTCAGGACAGCAGGTCATAAGAATCTCAGAAACCTCTGAGCTCAGAGAAAACACCATTTTCTACTGGAAACTAGGAAAACAGGTTGTAAAAAGGAAGACATATGTGTAAGTTTGACCTTGAGTAGAATTAAATTGTGGAGGGGGGGGGGTGGTCCTTGTTACAGAAGTATAGCTTCAGGAGCCACTAATGAAGAGAACGGAAAAAAGGATAGATATTTAAATTATTCTGTTTAAAGTTGCATCGCAGCAATGTGTTTCATTATTAAAGAGCTAAAACAGCAATTTAATTATGACATTTTTTCAAGGTTCGCTACTTTAGCATGTGAATATAATTCCTTCAGGATACAAGCTAAAAATCAAGTTTTTAAGACTTTTTTCTTAGCCAGCAAAACTGTTCTGTTTTGGTCATTTATTTATTATCCAAGCGTAAGAAAATAGTGTTTTTCAGATATTTAAAAAGCAAGGCTTCATGTTCCCTGGCATTCCATTAATTCTACATCTTGTTTTTGAACTACACACTTGGCACAATGTAGAATCTGTACAGTGCCAAATTTCTGAAGAAAATTACTAAGACATCAGCAAGCCACAAATGGCTGGGTAGCCAGGACAGGAGTAGCTGGCTCTACACTATTATTTTTGGCAGAGAGATTGTAACTCTGGCTGCTCAGACCAGAGTCTTCTCAACAGTGATTCTTGATTTTACCATAGTCATGAGTCAACATACGGAGTAGTTGCTAAGGTATAAGAGATTGCCCATTTTTCCCCAGTCATTCTCTGCTAGCTGAATTAACTAAAGGGTGGGCCTCCCCAAGGAAGTTTACTACCATGTAATTGAACAAAAGACATTACAAGTTATATGGAGATCAATCAATCCATCAAACTATTAGGACAGGGGCTGGTTTAGCTAGAACTGAACAAGGGAAAACATCTTTCCACTCACAGATCATAAAGTTCTAATTCACTAAGGTTTATACACATATGCTTTATATAACTATTGAGGTGGAAGGTAAAGAAGGGCAAATTGCAATTACATTGTTTCAGTTTTATAAACTCTGTATACACACTGAGAACCAGTGCATGCTGGTTAGAGCTTTAAACTGGGGCTTGGTAGAACACTGATAGACTTAGTAGAACTGAGACTTGGGAGACCTGGGTTCTAGTCCCCTCTCAGCCATGAAACTTGGGAACAGTTACTGATTCTCAGCCAAACCTACCTCACAGGGTTGTAATGAGGACAAAATGGAGAACAGGAGGTTCTATAAGCTGCCTTGGCTTCCTTGCAAAAGGAACAGAGGCAGGGTATAAATCATGGGTCCTCAAACTACGGCCCATGGGACAGATCAGGCCTGCCACGCCCATTTATCTGGCCCACCTCAGAGGTTTTGGACTTGCCACGCGTGCAGGGCAGTGGCTTGCTCACGCAGAGATCGTTTTGGACTCGCTCGGCGACAACGATCTCTGCGCCCGCCCGCCACTGCCTTGCCTTGCTGCACGCCCCCACTCTCGCCTCACCATGTTTGTGGTGACTTGGTGGCTGTTGGCATGATGTGGTTGGTAGTCTGTGGCATGAGGTAAGGAGTCTGGCGCACTTTGGGCCTGCAGTGCTGTTGCTGGAGGAGTCAGAATTCTCCCACTTGATACAGCAACTTCATCGGGGTGCAGCTGGGCTGGCGGGAGGGTCCAATGGCTCAGACAACTCCTCGAGGTAGGGGGAGGGTGGGAACCAGGACGAGCCTGGTCCCAACTGAGGAGAGGAGTTGGGTGATCCCTGGTGTTCCCTGAAGGCCTGGCCTGCAGGTGGCATGAGCAGGTTTGGCAGCAGATCATGGGGCAAGGCGGAGGAGCACTGGCTGGGAATTGCGGGTATAGGCAGCAATGGATGTGGCGGGTTGTGTGCAGGGAAGGAGCCTCTGCTCAGTGAGTCATGTGTACATATCCAGAGAGCCCGGCTCTTGGATGGCAATGGTTCTATCCAGTAAGAGCTGGGATCTGGAGTAGGAGGGCGATCATTACATGGTGGACCGGCTGGAGGAGAGGGAGGGCTGGTAGAGCAGCACTTTTTCTTTTTGTGGGCAGCCTGCTGGCCTGTCCTTTGTGGTGGGAACAGCCCTTTTCCAGGTCTTTTTGGCTGGCCATTTGGCTTCCTCAGTCTGCGCAGAGGGAGGCTTTCTGGCCTCCATTCTAGAAGAATCTTCTAGAATCTCATGCGAAGAGCATGCAGCCATAAGGCGAACTTGAAGTGATCTGCCCGCTACTGCTTTGTGAATGCCTGGCGGTGTGCGCAAGTCTCTGCAATGTGCCCCTCACTGAGGCAGAGGAGGCAATGGGAATGGCCGTCTGTGACAGGAGGCACATGAGGCACAGCTCCAAAAAGCGGAGTCAGCCAAGTGGAGATGGAGAGAGAGCACACAGAGGAGGAAAAGAGGGCGGGGGGTTTTGTCTCCTTCCTCATAGGGAGGGAGAGAGGGCGGATGAGAGGCAATCTTAGAACAAGGAGGAAGCAGGTGAACCATAGAGAGTATACTATTAAAGTTTAAAAGTTTGTTTAATAGTCTTTTATGTTTCTGTTTGTTTTTGGGGGTTTTTTGTTTTTGTTTTGTTTTTTTGGAGGAGGAAGAGCAAACAAGGGAGTGAAGCTAAGAAAAAGCAAAAGAGCAACTCGCAGTGAAAAAGAACTGAGGGACTTGGCAGGAGCACCACACCTTTTATCCTGAGATCAAGAAGAGGGGAGCTCCTGCCCACTCCGTGACAATGAGCTACTGGAGTTTTTTTCTGATCAAGGCCTTGTGCTGTGCGGCAAAGTCCAGAGGTGTGATGTACGGAGACCATGACAAAGAACCTAGGAAGCTTTTAAATACAGCTACTAGTACCCTGCCCCCGAGCATGGTTTTAAAAGACAAGAAGGGGAAAATGGTCAGATGGCAAAAAGTATGAATAAAACAATGAATTACATAAAATATTTCTTCACATACCATTATCTTTTTATGATCCAGAAATTCAAGGCCAAAATAGTCACCTTCAAGCAGATTCAGATGATTGCAGACGGCATCCAGCAAAACCTTCCCTGGAGCTCTTTGCTATAATAAAAACAATGAAAGGTTATGTCCACACAAAAAGCTAAATTGCAAAAATATTTTATCAGTCCAACCCATCTTGCAGTCTCCTCACACACAGATACACACAAGCAGGATTGATACTTGTAATGTCATAGCCTATTTTTACTTGGATGCCAAACTGCTAGATTATGAAATCAGTTGTGGATTCATTCTAATTCATATTTGAAGGAAACTATTAACACAGACTGGGTAAGATCTGGTATGGAAGGCTAAATATGCATTCTGCATCCTCATGTCACACTTAAATACAACACCACTTTTTCCCTTTAAGAAACTTGAAAAAGCTAAATGATACCCTAAACATATCAATGGACTGACACTCTGTTTTTTAGGATTTTTAAAAAGTTAAATGGCATCTTAAATATAACAGTGAACTGGTAAATCATTATGTACTCTGTATTACTTAGAAATATTCATTTCAATTAAGTAAGAGAAGTCACTGGTAACATATTTCTAACTAGAAACCAGTGTAAGGACATTTCACTGGAGAAGCTGGCCAAGATCATCCTCACTTGCATTTCTGATCACTGTGTACGGGCGTGAAAGCCGGACAGTGAAGAAAGCCGGCAGGTTCAGAACATGCTGCTGCAGGAGAGCTTTGTGAGTGCTCCGAATGGACAGAAAGGCAAACAAGTGGGTCTCATATCAAATCAAGCTAGAACTTTCCCTGGAAGCAAACTGACAAAATTAAAACTGTCAGACTTCAGGCACATCATGGGAAAGTTGATGGCAGAAGAATAAAAGAGGAAGACCAAATATAAGATGGATCAATTCCAGAAAGAAAGTCACAGCCTCAAGTTTGGAAGAGATGAGCAAAACAATCCGGAAGGCATTCACTCATAGGGTCACCAAAAGTCAGAGATGACTTGACTGCACTGAAACATCAACATTCCTTTGAAAATAACCTCACTTTTCTAAAGAAATCCACTCTTGAAATAGTTTTACTGAATATAAAACATCAAGTTGGACTCCCACTGTATAAATTAAGGGGAAGTAAAGTTGAAGACAAGCAGCATATCTACTCAAACTGGAAAGTAGGTAATAGTAAATGATATATTAATGCACTGAATTTCTCTTAAATATATTGCATTATTAGGCCTATCTATAAGCTACCATTCTGAGAAAGCACAGAAGACCCATGGAAAATGGTACTGAAGGTAGAATTTAGCTTCCTAGAAATCACAAATTTAAGATAATGAATAAAATGCTTAATAACCAAATACTGCAATTTTAGTTCTCTGCTGTACCATCCCAGGACTAGCAGAAGCAAAATAAATTATGCAGTTTGCAAAGAGACTGAAAGTATATGTATGTGTGTTTTCAACAATGATCTATATATCCCTCTATCTAAATATATATTTTAATCTAATTCAATTGAAATATCTTCTCAAATCTGACATTTGGTTCTACCAGAAGAATGAAAATAGAGTTATTAGGATTCAAGAGGTAGTACAGTTGAACTTTCCTAGTGTCTAAAACCCAGGAGCCTTACAGCCTTCAGCTTGATGTATGGATCAATAGTATAACTTTAATTGGTTAAATCATGTAATCATTGACATATAACCAGGCCAGAGAAAAAGCCTCTTTTCTAGAAATCAGTATGTGCGCATCCTTGAAATGTAGGCACCCATCCAGAGAAAGCTAGTTGGCACTCAACAGATAACAGCAGCTCAAACAAAGAGCAATTCACACCAGCTCACCCTATCATCCTCCTCCTTCCATGTAATAGCACCCCATCCTTCCCTCCTCCTTTGGAGAATCTTCTTTGTACGCAAGTGGGAAACATCATGCTATTCTAACTTCTCACTTCTGTGATCTATTGGAAAGTGTTAACTGTGTTACATGTAATGCATTAATGATCAACGTACAAAAGGGCCTCACCACCGCCACTTGCCAAAGACCCCTCCTCAAACTTTGCCTTCCTTACTTTAACATGATGAAAAACTGTTAATACTGTATCTCTAGGAAAAGTTGTGCATATCCCTAGGGAACTATGTGCTCATGGATGACACATTACCAGATATGTCGCTTAGTTCCTTAGGGATACGCACAGCTTTTTGCTGAAGATATTCATATAGGGTTTATGGCAGTCCACACATTCATAAGTACAGGTTGTTTGTAACCCAAATGTTCCTAAGCCAGGGATCTGTAACTGGCTTTAAGCTGCTTTCCCCAAGTATATATTTTAAGGTAAGAACTGCTTTTGCAGTGAGATCAGAAACTGTTTTACTAAAGCCACACTGTCCCTTCCCTGTATCCAGGAAGGTGGGGTTACGTTAGGTCTGTGTATACTGACAGCCTCTGAAATAAGGAGAGAAAGAACTTTATTAAATCCATGGCAGTGGGATGTTCTCAGCTTGGTGAGTAGAATTTATTTATTTATTTATTTATTTATTTGGAGAACTTATATGCCGCCCCATTCGCATAAGCCTCGGGGCGGCTTCCAAACCATAAATAAATATATTTGATACAATTACATAAAATATTGGAGACATCCTGGCAAAAAATTGTTAAAATCAATAAATAAAATTAACAATTAAAATAATGTTTAAATAAAAAGGTTTTGGCCTGGCGCCGAAAAGCAAATAACGACGGTGCCAGGCAGACCTCTCTGGGGAGAGTGTTCCATAAGAATTGACATATAATCCACCAAGCAACCCATAGAATATGCCCTGGCCTATTCAAACAACCAACACCTCCACAGATAAACAGAAAAAAAGTTTTCTTTTGTTTATATTTTGCATCTATAATTTATCACTGTACATCCTTCTTTCTTGGTAGCCTCAAATCTGAAAGTGAGGTGCCCTGACTGGGACTAATACAGGCAGTTCCTGAGTTATGATTGTCTGAGTTAAGAACAAACCATACTTATGAATGAACTGCCATAAAGCCTATTCATTTTAAGAAACTGTCATCACAATAGAGAGGAAACAATAGGTTAGAGAGGGAGGCCTCCAAACAGGCATTCCTACCCCACCCATCCAAGAATGACGAGGGCTGATGGAAGGCCTCAGACAGTAGCCGTAGGGCAGGTAATAGTCCCACGGATAGGACTGAGATGGATCAAAGTCCCCGTACAGCATAGGAACCCGGTATTTAGATGGCTGAACTGGGGCCTGCTATTGTGCAGAAGTTGGTGGAGCAGCCCTCAGAGATGCCTCCAGAGAAGTAAGCATCGGTGTCGGCGAACATGCCGGTGGCAGGCTGGTCCGAGATCGCAGCAGCAAGTTCCGAATCTCACCATCAGACATGGAACCTCTGACCACAGCATCAGAATGGTCAGGAGTAGATGGAGCCAAAGTAATGATCCGTGGAGACCCTGGTGGAGTCACCTGTATGACCGACTGAATGTTCGGTTCAGTCGGTGTAGGGATCGAAACGGCGATCAGTACCGAAGATGTGGTTGATACTGACTCTGTACGAGGCACTTTAGCCAGCTTTTTGTGCCTGTGCTCCGTCTTATCGGCCTTGTCCTTTTTGAACCTCTTCGGTGCCAAGGAGTCATCAGACCCAAGGTGCTTCCTCTTCTCCTTTTGTTTATGATGAAGAGAATGAGAGGAGCATTTAGCCTCCTTGGAAGTTGTACCACTATTCGACAGACGAGGAGGAGTGGCCTTAGATGGACCTGCCACTGTGGTCTCCACCAAGACCTTTTTCATAGCAACCAAAGCCCGGTCCCACAGCATTTTCCGCAAACGGTTCTCCCGGTTCTTGTGGGCCTGCCTAGTGAAGAACTGGCAATGGCCACACTTATCAGTCCTGTGGCCTTCTCCCAAGCACAGAAGGCACAGGTCATGTGGATCAGTGGGGGACATTTTAGCCCCGCACTGGGAACACTTACAAAAAGCCGCCTGCTGAGCCATCAAAGAAGAGAGATAGAAGGACAGCGAGCAAAAGAAGAACTTCAACAAGAGAATAATGATAGAAGGGGAAAGGGGAAAGAACTTCTCAGCTGGGGGTGGGGGAGGGGAATTAGGTAGGTATAACTTGGATGAGGATGTAAAAAGAGAGAAAGCTAAGAATCAAAGAGTAAAGGTAAAATTTTGAATATAGCTACGAGAGACAAGCAAAAGGCTTGCGGCACAGCAAATGGCAGTCACAAGAAGACTTGGGAAATGGCGGGCACTCACCCTTTTATACTATGGGGGCAGGGTGCGGAGTTCCCGCCAAGCCTGTTAAAGCTGTTGAATCCTCCCGGCAACAGGCACTGCGCAGGCGCAGCACCCATAATGTGTGAATGCACAGAGGCCACAATGAAGAACTGGTGTTATAATGTTACATTCCTGGACATTTCATGCACACACAGAATGAATCCCTCTAGCCTTCAAGCTATTGAGAAGCACACTATGTCATTTATTTCTTTACAGAGTCTGAGACAAGCCTCAGAAGGCTCATTAGAAATACTTCAGACTGTATTCTGTAGTCCACAACTTCTGGAGAGCATATACTACTGCCATTAACATTAATTTGGCTCTGTGTGTAATGAGGTACTGCAACCCCACCCTCTCCTGCCTCTGAGATATGCCTCCAGTGCTGGAAGGGAGAAGTGTTACGGCTTTATTGCTGTGGATTTATTTTATAGACAGTTTATAGCTTGAGAGAATGTTCATAAATAATTTGTGTAGCTTACCTTTTTTTAACTGCCTGGTGTTCTCCTTTATTTGATCCTGTTATGAGACTAGTCTTTATTGAAATTATCAAGACATGCTAATTAAATTATCAAGGGAAAGCAACAGAGCATTAACAGCAGAGTCTAAACCTAGCCAGCATGGAAAGTGCGGTTGCCACTAAAAGTAACAGTCACCAATCTCCTCTTTTCTCTCCCCGCCCCCTGCCAATTGCCTTAACAGCTTAGCAAACTAAGATGTACAGTTTGATGTCACTACATTGTGCATTTTCTTGTAAATGGTAGCTGATGAAATTGAGGGACAAAATCATGTCACAAGTTTTCTTAAATCTAT